TTATTTCCATTTCTCTAGGAGGTAGGTCAGAAAGGATCTTGCTGTGATTTATGTCAAAGAGTGTTCTTCCTATGTTTTCCTCTAAGAGTTTTATAGTGTCTGGCCTTCCATTTAGGTCTTTAATCCATTTTGAGTTTATTTTTGTGTATGGTGTTAGGAAGTGTTCTAATTTCATTCTTTTACATGTAGCTGTCGAGTTTTCCCAGCACCACTTATTGAAGAGGCTGTCCTTTCTCCATTGTATATTCTTGCCTCCTTTATCAAAGATAAGGTGACCATATATGCGTGGGTTTATCTCTGGCCTTTCTAGCCTGTTCCATTGATTTGTATTTCTGCTTTTGTGCCCATAACCCAGTTTTAAAACATTTCCATCACACCAATAAGATCCTTTGTATTGGGCAGTTAATCTCTGTTGCAAGCCTTAGGCCACCGCTAAGCTACTTTCTGTCTTTAGATATTTGCCTTTTTTGGACATTTCATATATATGGAATCATACAAGATCTGGTCTTTTGTGTCTGATTTCGTTCACTTACATAACATTTTTGAGATTCATGTGTGTCGTAGCATGTGGTTCATTCCATTTTGTTGGTGAATACTGCTCCAGCTTCATATATTTTTGAGGCTCTGTTATGAGGGACTTCCATATTTTTGATTATGTTTTTCTAGTAAATTGACCCAAGTATTAGGAAATACCATTTTTATTTCTCATAATTTTGTCTAAAATCTATTTTCTTATATTAAATAGCCCACTATATATGTATATTAACTCTTTACATAGTATATTTTTTTCCATCCATTTTTTTTCAGCTTATCTGTTTCTTTATATTTAAAGTATAGCTCTTGTGGGCAGTATGTAGCTGGTCTTGCTTTTTAAAAAAATTCAACTCAATTTCTGACTTTTACTTGAAAAGTTTATTACATTAGTGTTTATTATAATTATTGATATGGTTGGGTTTGAGGCTCCCATTTTATTATTTGTTTTCTGTTTATTCCCCCAGAGCTTTTTGTTTCTCTCTTCCTCCTTCTCTGCTTTTTAAATGTTTTTCCCTTTTTGGATTGTGTGTGTGTGTGTGTATATTGCATTGAACAATTCCATTTTAATTTTCCTCTTAGTATATCTTCGTACGTTGTTTTTTAGTGGCTGTTCTGGAGAGTACAGTATATTCTTCACTCTTCACGGTCCCCATCCAATTAATAATGTTCCATTTCGCATAAAACATAGTTAACTTATAACTGTGTAGGTGCATATTCCTTCCACCCCTGACCTACCTTGTCCTTTACGCTATAGTTGCTACATGTATTACATTTACGTGTGTTATAACCCCCACAGGCCAGTGTCATAATTCCCATTTTTGATGCTCTTCACTTTTTCTTGAGGATCTGGATTTCCATCTGCTAGCTTTTCCCTTTGGTTTAAAGAATTTCCTGTAACCTTTCTTGTAGTGCAAGTCTGTTAATAATGAATTCTGTTCACTTTTATCTTCATTCTTGAAGGATATATTTATGGGATGCAGGAATTCTGTTTTGATAGCTTTTTCTTTTAGCATAGTAAAGATGTTCTGTGTCTTCTGGCCTCTGTAATTTTTGATGAGAGGCCAACTTCCAACAGAATCATTCTCTTGTAATGTGTCATTTAAAAAAAAAAAAAGTTTATTTATTTATTTTTTAGCCATGCCACGCAGCTTGTGGGATCTCAGTTCCCCGACCAGGGATTGAACCCAGGCCACGGCAGTGAAAGCCTGGAATTCCAAACACTAGGGCACCAGGGAGCTTGCTGTAATGTGTCATTTTTCTCTAGATGTTTTTAAGATTTGCTTTTTTACCTTTGGCTTTCAACAGTTTGACCTTGGCTGGCCTTCTTTGTATTTATCCTGCTTGGTGTTTGTTGAGTATCTTCAATTTATAAATGTATGTCTTTCACCAAATTTAGGGAATATTCAGCCATTATTTTTCAAATCGTTTTTCTGCCCTATTCTCTCTCCTCCCTGTCTGGGACTCCAATTATGTGTATGATATCTAACAGGTTGATTGAGTATCTGTTAATTTTTATTTCAATCTTTCTTTTTTTTCCTTTATTCTTCTCCTTGGATAATTTCCATTGTTCTGTCTTCAAGTCCCCTGGTGTCTCCTCTGTCATCTCCAACTCTCTGTTAAGTCCATCCAGTGTATTAAGTTTTTAGTTCTGGAATTTCCATTTGAGTCTTTTTTTGTTTGTTTCTATTTCTCTGCCGAGATGTCTTATTTTTTGGTTCACTGTGAATGTATTTCACTTTATTGAAGATATTTATAAAAGCTTTTTAAAATCATTGTTTGTTACTTCCAACATCTGGGTCATCCCAGGATTGGTCTCAGTTGCCTCCTTTTATTTTAAGAATATCTTCCATTTTCCTGGTTCTTCACATATTGTAAGTTTGGGTCATATCTGGGACATTGAGAATGTTCAGTTTGAGAGACTCTGGGTTCTGCTGTTTTTCTTCAATTAGTTTTAGCAGGTAGTTATCTTGGTTGGACTCACTACAAACTGTTTCCTAGGCAGCAGTTTGACTCTTGGGTCATCCCTTTTGTAACCAGCCAGGTTGCTGTGAGTGTACTCTGTGCATGTGTGTGGCTCAGGGGTCAGCCAGAGATGTAGGTAGACAGAGTTGGGGATACTTTCTCAGATTCCTTCCCTTCTTCTCAGTGGACATGGTTTCCCAGATTGGTTTTTCTGGCTCCTAGACCAGAAAGACTGCATTTTCCCCCATGGATCCCACTAAAGGCTGTGAAACCATGAACTCATTATTTGTAGCTCTTTTCCTCCACGTGTGGACTCCCCATCTGCCTCCATTGCCTTCAGGTAGTTGCTGTTAGTTTATAGTTATTTGAGTTTATACTTTTCTGGAGGAGTGTTGGAAGGGCAGGATCTTAGTCATTACAGAACTTTTGAACTTTCACTTTAGTAAGGGGGAAATAGACAATAAATGAATAAAAATAAAATATACCTACAGACACACCTTGGAGATATTGTGGGTTTGGTTCCAGATCACTGCAATAAAGTGAATATCACAGTGAAGCGTGTCACACACATGTTTTGGTTTCCCAATACATATAAAAGTTATTTTTACACTATATTGTAGTCTATTAAGTGTGCAATAGTATTATGTCTAAAAAATGTACATACCTTAATTGAAAAATACTTAATGCTAAAAAATGATAACCATCATTGAAACCTTCAGTGAGTCATAGTAGTAACACCAAAGATCAGTGATTACAGAGCACCGTAAAGCATAATAATAATGAAGAAGGTTTTAAATATTGTGAAAATTACCAAAATGTGACACAGAAACACGAAGTGAGCAAATGTTGCTGCCAGTAGACTTGCTCGACACAGGGTTGCCACAAAACTCCAAATTGAAAGAAACACGCTATCTGCCAAGTTCAGTAAAAGGAGGAATGCCTGTCATGTTAGTTGTAGTTGTGTTGGTTATATTTGTTGCTTTGTTACAAACGTCCCTAAAACTCTGAGACTTAGATCCACTCTGATTCTTTTACTGTAGTTCATGCAGCCATGGGTCGGCGGGGGGTCGCCTGATCCAGCCGGCCTGGGCTGAGCCCGTACGTCTGCATTTCAGCTGTCTCACGATGTGTCTGAGGCCGGTGGGGATGGGGCTCCTCTCTGGGCCTGGCTGGGGCACCTCATAGTGAGAACAGCTCTGCTCTGTGGGTCTCTCATCTTTTTCTGGGAAGCAGTGGGCTAGCCTGGGTTACCCTTCTCATGGTGACGGTGGAAGTGCAGGAGAGCAGTCTCATGTTTCATTTAATGTTTCATTTAATATGATACTCACAGTGTAGTAACCCATTCCCAACCTTTTGACCATTTTAGGCCATTTTAAATGTTTTTTCCATCCTTGATTTGTTGAATGCTTACTTCTTAAAGCACTTTACATGGATTGTCTTATTTCATCCTTACAACAACCTTATGAAATAGATACTCTTACTGCTCCCACTTTACAGATGAGGAAGCTGAGGTACAGAGAGGCTAAGTACCTTGCCTAGTGTCATCCGCTTTATAAGCGGCAGAGACAGGATATGGAGTTGGGCAGTCTGCCAATACCCATTCTTGGGTACACAAATGAAAGTATAAAGGGTTGTGTCCACATCTCTGACTATTGGAGTGTTGGGTCATAGGATAGTTGTCTCACTTACAGGAGTATGATTTTTGTTTTGCTGCCAATTGACTGGGCATCTCAAAGTTCCTGCTGGGCTAGTTTGTCCCTCCCACTCCAAGACAGTAAAATGCCAGGCTAGCTGGTGAGCTGCTGGAAGGCAGGCACCAGTCGGTGAGCTTTGATAAGTACAGACCCACAATTGGTGTGGTGTCAGCTGTGCAGGCCAAGAAACAGCCAGGGCTGGGGATGGGTGTGGCTGAGAGCAGTCCAGTCTGCTGGGCCCGTGTGAGCCCAGGCTCCCGGCCAGCTCCAGGTCTGGCTGGTACCACAGACAGCATGGGCGTGTTCTACAAAGGACAACACTTCCTGGGCCAGAGGACAGCTCTGTGTGTCCTCCCGGACCGGGGCATGAACCCGTGTCCCCTGCATCGGCAGGCGGACTCTCAACCACTGCGCCACCAGGGAAGCCCTGAGCAGTAGGCTTTTTAAGGCTCTTGTCCTTTTTCCATTTCCATTGTTATCATTCTGCCAGGCTGAGCTATATGGGTACCTGTGTGATATTTTCTGCTTTGAAACAGTGGGGGCAATGAAAGGACAGGAAGAGAAATCTGGTTGAGTTTTAATTATGAAAAGCCTGAATCAAAGCTGGACACAGATGAGGTTAAATGGAGAATTTAGGATTTTCTCTTGTTCTGGATTGTTTTCAAGGTAACTGGTAGCTAGAGAGTATACAAAGCCATACCTGACTTTGACTGCAGTTACGGTTTTTGGTTACCTGTAAGTGTTCAAAGTTTTATCTACTTGTCTATTATGTATTTTGTGCCTAATGCTTTTTTTCTTTTTTTGCTCCAGGTTAGTAGCAAAGATGAAGATTTTCTTGACCTTTCTGTTGATGTGGAGCAGAATACATCTATTACCCACTGTCTAAGGTAACCTCATGAATTCTGACAGTGGTCTGAGCTTTTGATCAGGCTAGTAAGTACATGGGGGGAAAAATCATGTGTTTCTTCAGGACATAATCTTCCTTTCTGTTAAACGAATATAATCCTATTATTTTCTATTTCTTCTTTCCTAAGAGAGATTTAAAAATAAGTGTATGTGGTCTGGAGAAGAGTCCTGCTGAGGAGTGAGAGGATCAAGTGGAAGTCATTAGTCATTACGTTTAAAAATAAGGTTTTGATCTTTAATACAGATGTGTGCTTTGGGCTCTCATCGGCCTCTCTCCCTCTCACACACAGAGACGCACACAATCACAGAGTCACACAATTAAGTTAAAAAGTGCTACAGATGCCTACCATTACTTTCTTTTTCTAAGCTCATCTATTCTGTTATTTAAAACATTATGGGAATTCCCTGGCGGTCCAGTGGTTAGGATTTGGAGCTTTCACTGCTGCGGCCGGGGTTCAATGCCTCGTCGGGGAACTAAGAATCCCGCAAGCTGTGCAGCGCGGCCAAAAAAAAAAATTATGCACTTTCGAGCTGAGAACCAATGAGGGCATTACCTTTTCCTCCATCTTTCAGCATTGTATGGAGCTCACTTATGGAAAAAAACTTCCTCTTAATTAGGGTTGAGGAAAGGCAAGGAGCCCAGAGTATAAGAGCAACACATTAGTGTAGCTATTGTGCATTGACTCATGTGTTGAAAATGTGCTCAAAGTTGATGTAGAGGCACAATTCCCTTCTCCTGTCCTCACTGTCTTCTCCTCCTTTCGACAAGTGGTCATGAGCGCTTATAATTAGCCCAGCTCTGTTCTGGACACTGGAGGTCAAGGGTGAGCAGCAGGTATGCATCTCATGGCGCTTACAGTCTAGTGGGAATCCATGGACAGGGATCAGTGCTTTGAAGGACATTAAACACGTCTAGAGAGTGCCTGGTATTGGGGGTACCAGTGTAGACCAGGTGGTCGGGTGGGCCTTCCCATTGCTTATGATACCTCAGCTCAGAGATGTTTTATTGTGTCACTACAAGGCACTATTGATTTTTACTTTTTTGTTTATTTTTTAAAATTTATTCAAGTATAGTTGATTTACAATGTTTTGTTAATTTCCGCTGTACAGCAAGGTGATTCAGTTATACACATATATATATATATATATACATTCTTTTCCATTATGGTTTATCACAGGATATTGAATATAGTTCCCTGTGCTATACAGTAAGACCTCGTTGTTTATCCAGTCTCTCTATAATAGTTTGCATCTGCTAATCCCAAACCCGCAGTCCATCCCTCCCCTCCTCCCCTCCCTCTTGGCAACCACAAGTCTGTTCTCTATGTCTGTGAGTCTGTTTCCTAGATCAGTTCATTTGTGTCACATTTTAGATTCCACATATAAGTGATACCACATGGTATTTGTCTTTCTCTTTCAAGCCACTGTTGATCTTTATCAGTGGGAATTGTGTAACAGAATTGTTCTATCAGGAGTTCAGGTTACTTAGAACTCTTTAGACTAGATTAAAGAGACTTGCTGTGGCCATTTGGCTGTTAGAAAGTCATTTTTCAGGGCAAAGGCACCAACTCCAACCTGGAAGAGCGTCCTGGTCCATCTGAGGGTCATGTATCGTGTGAGCTGGGGGCTGATTACTCTCCAGTTCCCAGGATTCTGAGCCTACCCTCACCCCTTAGAGTTACTGCAGCACCTCCTGTTGGTCTGACGTTTCATCCCTTGTCTCCAGATGCCTTGGGTCCAGGTGTCTAGGGTACATTTGTTACCTCTTTGTTTGCAAAGCGTTTTGTGGGCCTGGATGGCCTTTCTTTCTTCTGAATGGTTAAGGTTATGGCACGGGCTCCTAAAATTCCTGTGAAAAGCAGCCGGTTTTGATTTCCTCCGGGTTTTGTGTTCACAGGGAGTCGAGAAAGGTAAGGTTGTGCCAGCGCCGGTCGTAGGTGAGGGGGAGGGAGAAAAGGTATTACTTGCACATTTGTGCTTCTTTGAGAAGGGGAGTTAGTTTGGGAGGCTGACTGTTCCCCTCCCCTCTAAGAAATTCTGGGCTGTTCAGAAGGGCAGATGGCAGTGACTATAGCTTTGAGACCAACCAGGTAAAGGGCTAACTCTAGTTAGTTATAATTCCAAACTTTGGGGAACCTTGTTATAAACAAACGTAACCCAGAATTATGTTTCCCCCCGCCCTTTTCTTTTCCTTGGAGAAGTGTATATATTGGCGATGCATACCTGATGAAGGCAGGCTAGAGGCATGTGGAGGCGTTAAAGCAGGATGGGTGGGTACGGAATAGCCTCAGAGTACCTTCTAAACAACATCAGATTCTCATCAGACTGTCCAGGCTGATATTCCTGAAGGGCCTGCCCCACCCCATCTTACCTCATCCTTAAATAGACCTTGACTGACTTACCTAGACCTGCCCTCATATATGCCTAAGGTCTCACCTCCCCAACATAAAGAGAGGCCCTGCCAGGTGTCGCCATTCACCGCTGAGAGTTCTGTGATGGGGGTGGCAGCTTTCCAGCCTTTCCCAAAAGAACCAAGTGCAGGAGAAAGTTCCAGGGAATAAATGATGCCAGCTGATGCATTAGCCTTTTCTGTTTGAGACAACAGAGGAGGAATGATCGTGATCTTTTTTGGCCCCTCTCATGGTTTAATTTGCTTTGCATTCTTTAGGGTTTCTTTCTCAAACTAGAATTAGGAGTTTTCTTCTTTAACATCATGCCTGCCTATCTCTTCTGATGTGATACTTTATCATTTGTTTTGATTTTGAGAAAAGTTAAAAATCAAGCTAACATTGTAGGATTTAAATGTAAGATCTCTGCCACCTCCTTCCTGAAGGGCTTTAGATGATCAATTACAGTGTGTTTTCAGTGAACTTTTGTCCCAGAGAAATGATGATATAAATGGTGGTTGATTCAGGATACAGGTCTAGAGGAGGCACTAAAGCCATATTGTAGCTGAGCTATGATTCTAATATTTCACATCTCAGCACCGTGTCTTAGGCAGAGCGAGCCATCTGTATCATAGGAGGATACTGAGAAAGTTTTTTTTTTTCTTTTAAAAAGTTCAGGGATGGCCTCAGGCAAAAACTTAAAATACGTGAATTTTATCTTAATTATCCCCCCCCATGTCCTTTTTGGTATTTTTTGTCTTTTGCTTCAGGGACTTAGTCCCTCCCCGTGGTTCCTGCACAGAAACGTACCGTTCTCCTCAAAGGGCTCCATGTTCTGAAACCACTCTGCTCTTCCTGTCATTAAAAATTCCCATTCCCCCAGGGCCAGGGAGGTCAGCCTTTTAGTTCTCCCAAAGCTCTATTTTTTAAATTACTCTATTTTTAAAGAAATGTCTTTTCTATTCATTTTGGAAACTTCCTCTGTGTGCTAAGTTTACACGCATCCCCATCACACATCCATTGCCATGTGCTCATCTATTAGTTTCTCTGTTTCCCTCACTTATGTCTTGGTTTTGGTTGTTATTTATATATGGTGCTTGCTAATATCTGACATGTCTTTCTTTTGGATTTCTTTTTTTGACCTTCTTTAATACTCTAGTCAGTAGTTCTCAAACTTTGGTGCATATCAGAATCACCTGGGGAAGTCGGTAAAAATTGAGGCCCAGGCCATATTCGACTTTTGTGAGCCTGGGCATCTATTTTTAATTAATTTTTCTGGGTGGTTTTGATACCACCAGAGTTTGAGAACCCCCGCTCTAGATCTGTGCCACTCAAACAGGGGTCTGTGGACTAGTGCCGTTGACATCACCTGGGATCTCATTAGTACGGCAGCATCTCAGGTCTCCTCCAAGAATGAGTGTGTGACTCAGAGCCTGCGTCTTGACAAGATTTCCCGGTGCATGAGTGCATGTTAGTATTTGCAAAGCATTGGGGACAGTGGCTCTCAGCCCACGCAGCATACTGGAACCACCTAGGGAGCTTTAAGAACAATAGTGCCTGGTTCTACCTGGAGAGATTCTGTTGTAATTAGGCTTGGGGGAGGGGGAGGGGTGATTGAGATTGTTTTTAAAGCTCCCCAGGTGATTCTGATGAGCAGCTGGGTGAACCACTGCTGCAGATTCTAGAACAAAGCTTCCCAGCTGGTGTGCCCCAGAAGATGGGTTACAGGTGTGTGTAGATCCCCTCAGCTTCTGGGAGGCTGGGCAGAGCCTGGAGCTTCCAGAGAAGCAGCCGCATCGGTGTACCCCAGCTCATTTCGACGTAGCACCATTATTTTATGTGGGTCATGACATGAAAATTATTGGGAAGCCTAGCTTGAGAATTCTTTTAAATTCAATTTTTTAGCTATTGTGTGGAGTGAAAAGTTAAGATTTTAATTAAAAATGTATCAAACATAGACATTAAACATGGACACGGTAGCTATCTTTACAACCTAGAGCCATCTTACCCAGGAACATAGTTTTTCTCCATTTTTTTCAAGTTTTCTTGTATACATTTCCATTAGGTTTCATAGTTTCCGTTTAAAGGTATGTGTTTCATATTAGATTTGTTCCCAAAGTGTATTTTTAAAAAGTGTTTCATTTCCACTTTGATTCTTTCTAAAGAACTACAAAGAGTTTTGTGCTTTCCCAGTAACCTCTCCTCTGTGCTTTGTTGTAATTTATCCCGTGTCAAAAAGACCTCTCTACTCTCTCCTCTTCTCTTTGATTTTCTCATTGAAAAGTTTCCTCAACCTTTGTCGCCTGCTTTTGTTCCCACAACTGTATAGCATCACCTGACAGATCTGCTCTGCCTCAGTTTCTTGCCAGGGCCACTCTGTTTTCCTAACTTAGCCGCATTTTCCAATTTTCAACTCACAGATGCTCCAGAAGCATCACCCTGTCTCTCCTGTGTCATTGAGCTTCCAGCCAGCTAGGGCTGGGCGGGATGGTGGTTATTTGTGAATCAGGTCTGCACATTAGGTACCAACTTCTGCTGTATTTCTACGTAGTGGGTCTACAAAAACTGCTGGTTTTTTTGGCAGGGGGCGGGGAATAAGAGAGAGTCGAAAGTGTTTAATTCCTTATTTGTTGTTGTGCTTGCCTTAGTTATTCTGATTCTTTAGTTGGATAAAGAGATTTGTCTGTGGTAGACATTCCAAAAATGTGAATCTCCACCGTCACCCGGGCTCATCCCCCCCTTCTCCTTGGTTGTTCCGTTCCGCCCCAATAAACGTGTGTGGGCCAAGAAGAGATTTCACATCAGTTACTCCGTGAAGAGCTGGCTAGTATGCATTCAGCTAAGTTTGAGTCTGTATTAGGCACCAAGCGCTTGAAATCTGGGGGTTGAGTGTAATTGCCTTCTGAATTGTTTCCTTGCTTTTCGACCCCCTCCAGTCCTTCCCCCAGAGCGCTGCCAGAAGTGATCCGAAAAGCACTGTCTCATGCTGTCGCCCCTGCAGAGACCAGTTAGAGAGCCACAGGGTCCACACAGCTTCTAAGAAGCGTGCTCTGTACCTTGCATTCATGCCTTTGGGCCTCAGCCTTCACTCTGTCTGGGACCCTGGACTCTTATTCCCCTGGCTCACTTTCCCTTTTTGCGAACCTGACTCAGATATCACCCCTCGGGGAAACGTCCTGAATAATCCCAGTTCATTTCTCTGTCCTCTGTGCTTTCCCCTGGACTTTATACACACGGTTCTCTCTTTGTTCCTTTGTTCAGCCAACACACGTTATTGAGGGCCGTTATGGGTTGGGCCTGTTCTCAGTGCTGGGGTTCTAGCAGTGAGTGAGACAGACAGGGTCACTGCTCACACAGAGGGGAGGCGGCTGATCCAACAAACAGGAGGATGCTTCAGATAGTGATAAGTGCTCAGAAGAAAACAAGACAGCAGTAGAGTAGGGGCTGGATAGGTTTGGAGAGAGTGGCTGGGGAAGTCCGCTCCAGAGGTGACTTTTAAGCTGAGCTCTGAGCAGTGAGCAGGGCCAGCCATGGAAGCATCTGGAAAGAAGCTGTCAGTGCAGGGGAAATTGCAGCAGCAAATGCCCCGAGGCAGGGAGAGCGTGGCACTCTGGAGCTACACAGAAGGCCAGCCGGCGGGGCTGGAGCAGAGTGAAGGAGATGGGGTGGGGCGGGAGGTGGGTCAGAAGAGCAGTCAGGACTCTGAGGACAGGCGGTCTGTTGGCCATGGTAAGAAATTTGGATTTTATTCCTGATTGCACCGAGAAACTATTGGAGGATTTTAGGCAGGGGAGTCAATCGTGTGAAATGATTTATGTTTAGCCTGCAGTGAACACGAAGTGTTGCAAGTGGCTTCTTGCACGTGTCTCTGGTAGACTGTGAGCTGTGTGAGGGCAGGCATTCTCTGCGGATCCCCAGCCCCTAGCCCAAGGTACTGTCAGTAGCCACTGGGGAATTTAGTGAATGAACAACCTGTGTGTTCTCTTGATAAGCTCTGTTTAAGTGGTTGAGTCATTGACACCATGTAAATACCATTTTCTATTTGATAAATCTGATCATTCTGGCGCTAGGACACTCCCTATGAATAAGGAAATGTCATAGACTTTTTCAAGACTCTGGGGTATTATGATATTCTGAATGTTACTCAGCCTTTGAAGCAGTACCACAGGAATGTTAAGTAGGATCTCAGTGACCAGAGAAGAATGAAAAGCCATGACATTTAAAAAATGAAAACCATAGGTAGTACAGTAAAACCTCATGATAAGGTGAATACAGATATAACATCCCAGTGGCATTTGTTCTCAGGAGGCAGGCTGACGTTATCTTCCGGCGTGTGGGGAGGTGGGGAGTAAGGGCTTGGTAGACATCTCCTGATCATCTGGGACTTTCTTAGTTCAATATAAGGGCCACTGAACATGCTTTAAATTTTATTATCTTTACTTTTGTGCTCTTTGAAAATACAGACCACCTGAGACAGACCATTTTTCATTAACCACGTAATAAGGACACCTTGCATTTTGTATGACTGACATTTTTGGACTCAACTTTCACTGAAATGGTTGGCTTTTACTAGAGTTAGTATTTTTCCATTGTAATTTTTTAAATTTTATTTTGTATTTATTATTTTTTTTTTTGCGGTACGCAGGCCTCTGTTGTGGCCTCTCCCGTTGCGGAGCACAGGCTCCGGACGCACAGGCCCAGCGGCCATGGCTCACAGGCCCAGCCGCTCCACGGCATGTGGGATCCTCCCGGACCGGGGCCCAAACCCGTGTCCCCTGCATCAGCAGGCAGACTCCCAACCACTGTGCCACCAGGGAAGCCCTCCATTGTAATTTTATTTCCAATTTACAGGTACTCTCTGTTAAACCCTGAGTTTTTTTTCTGAATCAGTTGGAAATCCTAATTTAGATCTATCTATGTCCCATTAAATAAAGCTATACTTGAAAATCTCTCGTGGTGAAATCATAACCCAGCCCAGTGGACATGCTCTAATGCATCATAGCACCTGCTTCTAAGAAGGATCTTTTCTCATTACTTCTTTCCCCACATTCACTTAAAAATTACCCTACAGGTAATAGGGGGTTTAAAACATGGTAAACTGAGTGCATTTTGGACTTCTTTTAAGTTGAAAATATTTTTCTCTGCAGAGACTTCAGCAACACAGAAACACTGTGTAGTGAACAGAAGTATTATTGTGAAACGTGTTGTAGCAAACAGGAAGCCCAGAAAAGGTACGTAAAGGGTTTAGCTCAGGGGGTGGCTTTGTGTCGTCAGAAGGAACCAGACGGTGGAGCCCGACAGATCTGATTTTTGAATCCCAGTTCCATGGGCTTGTAGCCAAGTAGCTTTGGAGAAGTCAGTTACCTTCCTCACTGGTAAAATAGGATAAGAATGCCTACCTGGGGAAGTTGCCCTTTCGTCTGATTGTTTGTTCATCTGTTTGTTCATTCATTCATTCAATGTGCCAGATACTTGTGCTGGGGAAACAAGTGGTGAGCAAGTATAAGCACTCTCCTCTTGGGATTAAAGACAAATTATAAAGCGGATTGGGCATAGTACATAACACATAGTGGTCACCCGATAATATTGTTAGTGTTGCCTAAATATTGGAACTCCTTATTTAGAAGACAGGCAAAAAAAAAGAAAAAAGAAAAAAATCATTTAATAAGGAATCTTGAGGAAATCAATATCATCAGTTTGTGGATAGGTGATAAGAAAGTTATCATATTCTGAGTTGATACAGGACCCAGAGTTGCCCATCTTTTTACCAGCACCAGCCAGTTCCAGCTCTTGGACAGTGTGAAATAGCCAGTCCTTCCCTGTATTCTGTCACCCAGAAGCCAAGAAACTTGACATTTTAATTATCCTGTGAAGCCTTACTGTGAGTTAAGTTTACCCTGCCCATGGTTGTGGTATATTCGGGGTAACTCACAGACGCCCATTCCTGCCGCCTAGAACCCTCAGGGGTCTAGAGCTGAGGTCGAAATAGTTTCTCTGCCCAGTCTCCCAGCCCTCCATCCTCAGACATGCACATCTTTTCCTGGTGCATCAAAACTTAAGACAGGTTAGTCACTGTGGTGGCAGGCAGGAGTTAGCACTTGCTAGTGGTCGAGGAACTCACCTCTGCTCCCACCCATGTAATCTAGGTCTTCCTATGGGGCATGAAGGTGTTTTCTGTTTAGCCCTGGAGGTTTATACATTAAAATGTCATGTTCCTGAATAATACAGGGTTCACTATAAATCTTATGTTTCTGCTGATATTGGTATTTTGCTTATTTTTATGAACAGGGTTTTTACTCCATAGATTTCTGAGTGATATTCTCTTAAAATCTGTCCTTTACAAATAATATGCATTGAAAATGTGCACAAGTTGAACAGCATTTACACTGATTCAGGACCTTCATAGAGGGGGTCCTGGAAGGCAACCAGAAAATCCTCTATTCTAGCAGAGTTATCCACGTAAAACTGTGGTCTTTGTGACTTCCTACCGAGGAATATTAATGGTCATCTAGTGAAAAAAGCTTTCCATGTTTATGTAAGTTGGGGAAATGCTGCATCAAACACAAAAGAAAATCCTTTTCTGCCGCATTTCTCAAATCCCTCAGTATGCTAATGTGCGAGGAGGAACTTCAGAATAGAAGGGAGCATTGTGCAGACTTGGCCCCAGAAACCCCACATCCGTTAACATCTCCAGGGCTCTCATGAGCCTGTTTGGGTAAATGTAGCCCTAAGCCAACCCTTGCGTTCACAAGCGAGGAACCTGAGAGCCAGAGAAGGGAAATCACTTGCCCAGAAGCACAGGGGTAGGGAGGGAGAGTGGGCCCAGCATGCCTGGTTACCTGATGGCCCGCAGTGGCAGTATCTGAGGCATCCCTGCTGGTCGGTCCTCAAAACCTGTGCGTCCAGACTGCACCTTTCCGCTTGTCCTCTCCCCAACCTCCTTCTCTCAGAAACTCTCCCCCCTCGTCTCCATTATCTCAGGGTGAGGGGGTTTGTCCAAATACTGTTCTCCCTGGGAGGCAGAGGGCAGTGATGCAGAGCAATTGCACATATTTTCATTGGTACGAAAGTTCTGGGATGTCTCCTTTGACCAAACAGAGGCACCTCCCCCGCCCCCGTTGTGCTTTTCTCTGCTGGCTAGGCTCCAGCTAGCCGAGCCTGTAGAAGTCAGCTCTGCATAAGCGAGCATCCTTTCATTCTTGCGAGTGGTTTGGCCGTTTGCTGGTTTGAATTTTGTTGGACCCCTCCTGCTCTCCATTTGTGCAGGTGGCGTTGTATTCTCTTCCTCTCATGGGGGTTGGCTACCACTGATTTTCTACGTCATGGTTTCTTAGGATGAGAGTCAAAAAGCTGCCCATGATTTTGGCCCTGCACCTCAAGCGATTCAAGTACATGGAGCAGCTCCACAGGTACACCAAGCTGTCTTACCGGGTGGTCTTCCCCCTGGAACTGCGGCTCTTCAACACCTCCAGCGACGCGGTGAACCTGGACCGCATGTACGACCTGGTCGCGGTGGTGGTCCACTGCGGCAGGTGAGGGCAGGTGGGGAGCGCGGCGTGGGAGAAGCGGGAGGGCTGTCCCCGGGCCAGGTGGACCCCGCCGCACCCTTCCCGGCTGGTGAGACTCAGCGGTAATGGTGCTTTGGGGAGTCTCCTCCAAGCTCTGGTTTATCTGTCACCTCAAAATGAATCTAAATGTACATACATAAAATAAGTTAATAAAAAATAAATTAAAAAAGTAAAAAATAAAACAGTTGCGTTATAATAAAAATAATCTAAACGTTCTCTCATAAGGGAAATACTAAGTCTCCATTGGATATAAATGACGCTTATGGAGTTTGAAATCACATGGAGAAAGAAATGTTTATGCTATGATTTTAATTAAGAAACCAGGTTACACGTATAGTATGATCTCAGAAGTGGTTTAAGATGTGTGAATAAAGACTGGAAGCAGTAGATGGAATTTAAAATTTTTTTGGCATTTTGAATGATTGAAATGTACTCTTAACAAATATTCTTTATTCAGTTTTTAGTCTTTCCCCAATATTCTATAATAAGTACATAATCAGAAAAAAAGGGAGTAAGAGAGAGGGCCCCTCGATGTAGAGAAGCAAAGTGTCTTTGCTGGAAGTCTTTTGAGGAAGTATTTTGCATTCCGTAATTTGGTGTAAAGCCTGGAAAAGTCTGCCGGAAATTCACCTCTTTGCTATCCTTTGCTCGCTGGGACGGGTTTGTGTCCCCTCCCTGGGATCGGCACGCCGTCACCCTTATAGGTTTCAGATTAGGGCCTGTCACAGAGCAGGTGTCTTCTCCTCTCCATTCTCCTGGATTGGGTTGTGGTGAACAGACCAAGAGGATGCGTGGTTCCCTGTGGAGGGATGGATGGATTGATTTCTTGCCTTGTACTGAGTGGATGGTATCAGAAACTGTGGCTTCACATCTGAAGCACCTCATGTTTTGTCCCATGCGGAGTAGCTTTAAGTCACGGGTTATTGCCTTACGTTCTCAGAAAGTTGTATTTGTCGGTCAGTTGTAAGCCATCTTTCTCTTTCCCCTGAAGAATACTTCTAGCGGTTCATTCTTTTAAAGAACATAGGGGTTCAGCGATCTGGAAACTAGCCATGAACACTGGGTCGGGAGGAGGTCTTGGGGGCAGGCAGAGCCTGGTACCTGGAGGGTCTCTGGTGGCCGAGGTGGGCAGTGTGGACAGGAGGTGGAGGTGTGTGGGGTACGCAGGGGTTTTCAGTATGTATCTCTGTGGGTGCTGACTCTGGTCCCTGGGAACGCTGGTGAGGGCAAGGCAGAGACCCACTTACGAGAACTGGGGGACAAGTAGGAGGCTGGGTTCTAGAATAGTCAGTGTCTGTAACTGGGGCACAAGGTCAGAGCAGCCCTGGCAGCAAGGCTGAGCTGGTGCCGAGTCACGCATGCTACTAATGAGGATTCTTTAAATTCCTCCCCGCTAGAGGTGGAATTGTTCCCATACACGGAGCAGGTGGCTTCTGGCCGTGGGCTCTGGAAAGCTCTGAGGTTAGGGAGCTCAGCCCTTCTTGTGCCAGGACCCCCGGCCCACAGTTGCCCCAGGTGCACAGCCTCCTTCATTGATTTCTCCTGCAAGCATTTTTAAACCCTTGTTTCCTGGGTTCCGTAGCAAGATCTGAAGTTACAGCAGTGAACGGGACACGCAGGGGCCCTACCCTCACGAAGCTGGGCATCTAGTGGGAAAGACAGATAGTTAATAAGTAAACGCACCAGGCTGCTACCACCAAAACCAAACCACTGCAAAATCACTTTATGATTTTGCTTAGTGCTATGAGGAACGATCGGGGCAATGACAGAGAGCAACGGAGACACCTCTTTAGGGAAGGTGGTCGGCAAAGATTTATCTACCGAGATGACATTTGAGCTGAGGCCTAAGGAATAAAAAGAGCAGAGAAGGCAAACATGGGTGAAGGCAGTTTCAGGCAATTTCCAGCGGGCACAGCACCGAGATGGGAACGGTGATGTGTATGAAACAGAGGAGGCCTGTGGGCTGGAGCTCGTGGGGGAGGGGAGAGAGTGGCCTGACAAAGGTGCGAACAGACCCTTTGGGGCATGCTGTATTTAAAGAAAGCAAGCTAAGGCAAATTCAGCTTTCCAATTTTGATGGTGCGTCGAAAAAACAAAACAAAACTCTAGATTTAGAGTTAAAAATTCCCTCAGTTGTGCACACCCAACTACATAGTAGCAGCTGTTTGGTGGTTCTTTCTGCTTTGTGTAATGTATCTTTTTGTTTTCGTGCTTGTCATTATACATTTTAGTGTCACATCTTTCTAAAACTTGAACCAGATCATGTCATTCCTTAAAATTCCCCAGTGTCTTCCTGGCTCACTCACAGCAGAGTCCTGAATCTTTGCCGCGATATCCCATTCCCGTCCCTCCTTCACCCCGGGCTCACTGGACTCTGGCTGCCTTGCTGTTGGGGGAACACGCCAAGAACTGTTCCCACCCCTACGCCTCCCCCAGACCTTTGCACTTGCTCTTTCCCATTCCCGACACTTCCATCACGTGGTCACATGGCTTCTCTCTCTCTCTCTCTCTCTCTCTCTCACACACACACACACACACACACACGCACGCCCCTTCCCCTTCCGTCAGGGAAATTCCTTGTGTTCAACTCTCCTGTCATCAGAGAGGCCTTCTTTCACCACGTTATATCAAATACCGCCTTCCCTCTGTCGCTCACCAGCCCATTGCTCTGCTGTATTCTTCACGGCACTTGCCACCAATTGAAATATATTTGTATTTTAGTTTGTTTATTACCTCTCCAACCCTCATCTCAAGCGAGTGGGGCTTTGTTTCCTTTTCTGCTTTTTAGCCCGACAGCCAGGATGGGTCTGGCACATAGTGGGTGTACCAAAATTATGTGTTAATATTCGTTGAATTTGAATGTCTGTTTCCCCCAGCAGATTGCGAGTCCTTAGAAGACTAAGATGAGGTTTTTCTCATCTTTCTCTTATGCCCAGCACAGCTCCGGCCCCTGGGTGTCCCTCCGTGAGTTATGGCCAAAGGAATGTGGAAATAGACATATATACCAAGTTCTCTGTCCTGAAGATAGAGGGTTTTTTCCCCTAGTAAATCACTGCATGTAGAGAGCTACATAGAGTTTTATGGAGAAATAAATGTTAACTTGGTGACTTTCTTTGTTCTTTTCCAGTGGTCCTAATCGTGGGCATTATATTACTATTGTGAAAAGTCATGGCTTCTGGCTTCTGTTTGATGATGACATTGTAGAGGTTGGTATGCAGATGATTGTATCAGAGAGAAGTGGGGCAGAGACGGTGTTTGGGGATGTGTGTGTGTGGACATTTTCTAAAGTAGGCCTGTTTTCCCATAATCTGACTTGAAAACAACTTACATTTCTCTCAAAACTAAATTCTGCTGCTCCCCATTTTCTCTGGAAGGGGAGAAGGGGTGTGATCGTGGACTCATCAATACTGCGTTCTTGTTAACTGATTAGCCGTAGACATGGGATCTCTTTGCCGCCCATGTGTAAGTCCTGTTTCCTATAGTGACTAAAGCCCTCTCTGGGACCAGATAATAAACTTCAAAGTTCTATTAAAATTCTTTTATTATACCAAATTTTTCTTGTATTGATTATTATTTTAAAATAAATATTTTTTCAATCTGTTAAACCTGGAAATCTTTATATGATACCAAAGTATTCCACATATTCATTTTGTTTTAAAGGAATACTAGCTGGAGAGAATTCCACACTCAAAGACGTGGTCTCTTTTAGCCCACTTAAGGTAGCACTAAAGGGAAGAAACTCTGATGGCCTGAAAGAATTAAGGTTATTCCCAAGAGCTCCCCCAGTTTACCATTTGAAAGATGCAAGTCCTGGCTTCTTCCAAGAGCGCCCACCTATGGTTGCTGATAGATTAAAGGGTGGCTTTCTTCCCCAACGATATGCAATGTATGTAATCATGTCCCTCTCAGGTCTGTGGAGCTATCCATTTGCTATTGAAAGTTCCCAATTTTATGATAGTGTTTCTTACATTTTCTTGTGCATTCCATTAGTGTTTCTTTCCTTCTCCCAGGAATCATGTTGTATTGTTTTCTCTTTTGCTTGCAGAAAATAGATGCCCAAGCTATTGAAGAATTCTATGGCCTGACATCAGATATATCAAAAAATTCAGAATCTGGATATATTTTATTCTATCAGTCAAGAGAATAACTTAAAGGACTGTGGGACTAATTCGAGTGGGGAAATGTTCAAAGCACTCTTACCTGGTTTCTCTGCAGACGTCCCTCTTCCCCAGCGGCCCACCAGCGGCGTGGCTCCGAGTTCAGGGGTCTGGCTGTGTGACTCTCCCCCTTCGTTTTTCTACATGCAGCACTACTCGTGGTTTTATGTTAGTCTGAGGTAGAGTTAACTGCAATCAGATTGTAGTAAGTTTTAGATGAATAACATTTGCTAATTTTAGGATCAGGTACATGCCATGCCACTGGCTGTGTCTGGCTGAATTAGAATGACATTTCCTATGAACGTCGACAGTCTTTTTGGGGTCTTTGCTCATCTTCCTAAATGGCTTCCGGGGTCTCCTTTCAATGCATTCCTTTAACTTGTCCCTGGAAACACCGCTTCCCGTTTTTAGCTTCTCTGCCTCTTTTCTGACAGAAGGACAGAAGAATGGGATAGATACTCACCTTTTAGAGCTGCAACTATAGCTTTAAGTTTTGCCAGTGAAAATGTTTAAAAGTGAGTAACCTCGAAACTGAATTCATCCTCCGGGTGGAACAGGGTGAACAGAAGCCGTTCGCGGTTGCTAGCGGCTGCCTGGGGCTGAGCTCACCCAGCCATGAGAATTCCAGAGGCTGAGGAGGTGTGGGGCTCAGGGCAGGCAAAGCCAAGAGGAGGTAGCTTTTGTGCACAGTGGAAAGTTGCTTTTCTTATCTTTCTACCAAAACCAAGTTTCAGGAAAATAGCTCTATGCTCTTTGTTTTTAGTGATGCTTTTCTTCTGTCCTGTGAGTTGTATCTCCTTTATCCGGCGCTGCTAAGCTTCCCAAGGTATCTTTCCGATCCTACTGGTGTTTCGCAGTCAGTGGTGGCAGAGCTGAGACACCACAGGGACTGCCTTGCGCCCAGCTCTCCTTAGCTAGGCAGCACCAACACCGTCCTTTCCCAGGAAGAACGAAGGCTCTGCACCTTTCCTCCCATCAGCCACATTGTACAGCTGTTCACGTTTTAGCATTTCAGTCTGTGTACTGAGGTCCTGGCAAGTTCCAGGGCTAACATGGAACCTTCCCTACAGGAGATACTGGAGTTAGCTGGGGATGCAAGTGGGTCAAAGGAAGTGTCAGTGGGCGGGTGGAGGGATGAACAAAATGGTGGCGTTTCTTTGGCTCAGACTCCCAGGATGCTTGACAAACGGAGTTTTTTGGAAGAACCTCATCTCACCGTAGTTACTTTTTGTTACATATGTATTTATTAAATCTTTTGAGTATTGGCACCTTTTATTAAAAGGGTCGATACAGTGTTTTGCTGTTGAGCTGGTTTTTGGTTTCCTACAAATGTTATGAGTTGTAGATCTTGGCTTCCTCTGGGAAGACAGTTGACTTCCATGCGCTATAATATACTGTGAACCTGTTATTTTGTTACCTAATAAATCAGCGAAGGAACATGCAAACTTGTGGCATAATGTGAACTAAAATTGAAATTGAAAATGTTACTGGCCATTTTGCGACAATTAAGAGCATAGCACTTTATCTAGATGAAAACTGGATTTCTTATCTTTGAAGTATCTTGAACTGTTTGTCGCTCACAACTTACATAAGCATGCCAACACTTCATCTGTTCATGCTTGAAGTGAAATGTTTTACTTTTCACTGGAGAAGACAAAAGCAGGGTGATCTTCATGTTATTGTTTTATAAAAGTGATGAAAATATACCTTGCCTTGTTTAGAGGTGAATTCATATTTATAAATAGTTTGTCTTTTTTTCCTCCACAAAACTTATGCAGTAATGGCGTACCTGGAAGGTGTGTTTTTATTCTCTTTTAAGGAGCGACACTTTCCAGTTGAAGGTGACTGTTAGAGGGAACTGTTTGTACTATACATAAACCATATATTTGACTGCAGGTTGCAAAGTTTAAAAAAACCCTGATTGATCCCTAATATATTTGGAACTGATACATGAGAAAAACTATGAAAATTATCTTTGAAATGACTCTTGAAGCTAATTTATTAGAAAAAAAATTTTCAGTTGGAAGTCTAAGGAAATAATATCTGAATGCTAAGTCATAGATTCATTTTTTTTTTTTGATGTGTAAAAAGTTTTTCCCAGTGACTTAACTGAAATAATGCCTTTTAGTAGAAAAGGTCAGTTAAAATTCAATATTCACGGATAAATTCTTGGACTAAAAAAATAAGTATCGAAGCTAACACAGAGACACTAAAATGGTTGTGTGTTGCAGGAAAAGAAGATTGAAAAAAAGACCAAAACACACTTATCCGCCAACACTCCATCAGTTTTTTAAACTTTAGAGCTATCTGGGAACTTCTTCCCCCTTCCTCTTTACTAAACGAAAGAAACACGAGGCAGCTACATTTCCCCCTCAGTCATTTCACTTTATGTGAAGACTAGAGCACATAAACACTTCTTTATTTTTCATCCCTCATTCATTGTGTGAAGCAGAGATGGTGTGGGATGTGTGAGACCATTCTGAGGTCAACAATAGCACAAAGGCTCAGCAATATTCCCTCAAGTGGCCAGGGTTTTTGTGTGTCGTTTTCTGGCAGGAGTGAGCAGGCCTGCTGTATTCCTTTTAACTGCTGGGTGTTTTAAAATAAGTTGCAGTGTTTTCCACCTTAAAAAGAGAAGGAATATTTGCTTTATTGGTTACTTCTTGTTTAACATCTAGATTATGTTACAGTGTGATAAAACCTTCATTTGTTTGAAAGTCCATGTTGGTAGAATGCTGACGCCCAGTCCTGTTATTCTGATGCGTTTTCCATTCCGAGGCAACACGAAGTGGGCTGGTTTGAAGAGAGCCAAGGAGCAGCCCAAGAGGGTGGTGCTTTGACTAGGAAACCAGTCATATTGGTTTTATAGCCTGGTATATTTTGGATTTCAGATGAAATGGGGAAAAAAATGACGGAAATGGTCCCTGTGCATTTATTTTCATGGATACCCTTAATTTTCATGGGCATGCCTAACAATGAAACTATGTTCTAACTGGGGCTTAGGGCTTATTTTAGATATTGGAGTGTAGCTTTATTACAGATGGATTTTATCTTTAAACATTGCATTTTGATCAACTTTGTATATTCATGTGTATTAAAATATTGTGCACTAAATGTTTTGCCCTCGTTTGCTATTATATGGTCAAGGCATTTATCAGCACTAGTGTGATTAACTCATGTAAGTGGCATGGGTCAGGGAAAATGATTTCCTATGTTTCTGCCTAATTAAATTTGTTTTTCGGTATTGCATTAATTTATTTTGCCTTCCATTTCTGTATAACCAAAAGAGTTACTGTATTTGTGTGGCATTCATTTATTTGACTTTGTTGCTAAAAATTTTTTTTTTAGTTTTTATTTAAAATAATCTGTACCTTTTTTTTTTTAATGTAACCAATTCAAGCACTTTAAGCAATAATGTCAATCTTGTGAAACTTCAATCAGTTTAACACCCTGCCTCTAAAATTGTTGGCAAAAAATAAATAAATAAAGAGGAATTCTCTTCCTAGAGAATTCTATCTCGGTAGCATTATACACATGGACTTAAAATCCTTTTCATAAAATGTGAGTCATTGGTAAGCCTCCTGTCCAGGTAATCATTACAAACCCAATTTTGAAGCATTGTAGAGAATATTCTGGTCATTGTAATAATGGACGTGTAATAATAACGTACTGTCCACGTTCATGAAGTTAGTGTTCTGGAGATACCTCACCTCTTCTTTGATTGAGAAAGATCAGCACAATTAATCCAGAAACCTTTGTCTGGGGAAGAGCAAACTGAGACTATCAGTGAGAAAAAGAATTAGGGTAGGTATATTAGGCATCACAGTGAATTGCTTAGCAGCGATTTTGCATAGAAAATACCCTTTACCAGTTACGAAATAAAAGATCCATTCCCAAAATAAGAAAGTGGCTTCCAGCTCTTTGATCCCATCAGCATTTGGTTTCTAGGAAAGGGTAGGAGTGCGGTCCGGGCCCTGGTGTACTGCCAGCAGCCCCAGGCTTCTGGGCGGGGTCTGAGCTGCAGTGACCCCGGCGGGGTGCGCACCGCTCCCTCCATTGGCCTGCCAGAAGCGGGCCAGTGCAGGCCCATGTTCTAGGGTCTCAGAGCGTGGCCCTCCCAGGGCTGAGACTCAAGCTTGCTGGTAAAATGCTTAAGGCTCTTCTTCCCCCTCAACCAGTCACTTCAAGGGGTCCGTGTGGGGACAGGAGATTGTCATTTGAATGCATTTTCCTGGGCCCAGTGATGGGAATAAAACCCCACAGACCAAGAGCGAGGCAATATGCCTTGAAGTCTCCCGGTTTGCATCCATCTTCTCCCAGGGCAGCTCAGTTGAACCTGGCTGAGCTGGGACAGGCTTGCTGGGGAAGAGCCTGCATCCACCATGACGGCCATGGGAATGGAAGACGTCAGGAAAAAGGGGTTTTCTTTTCTCGGTCTCCTGTTGTCCATCTGTCCTATAGGGCTTATAGGATAGGCCCGTCACCGCCAGCATGACACAGTTTCTGGGGAGTGAGAAGAGTTGCCCATTTCTCCAAATTTCCCTCCCTCTGTTCATTGGGACTTAAAACCCCTTGAACAGAGAACGAAGCCTTCCATTTCCATGCCTTGTATCCCCACGAAGATAAAAAAAAGCTTGCTAAGTCATTCCCCACCCCCCATCCCCGAGGGAAGACTTTGACCGTGGAGGTGGTACTCAGACCTCTTAGACTTGTCCTAGAGATGCCCCAGGTGGAGAGATTTTTAATTAAGCCATTATTTAGCACCTGTTATATGCTAGGCAAGGGGACAGGAGTTGGGGGATAAAAAGGTGAAGCAGATAGGATCCCTCTTCTAGTTTCCTCCCTCAGAGAAAAAAGGTTTGCGGTTAAGAAATTTAAATTGTGGAGATAACGTGGGCGGTGAAATTCATCACGATCTGGCTCATTTTGGTATTCAGCCTGGGTCTTCCTGAACAGATGGACACTGCTCCAGCTGGTGCTGTGGGTAAAGCAGCCCGGTTCCTTCTTGACCTTGGGTCCCCTTCTTGTGTCCCACTTTCCTCCTTGCCTGCTCTCCATGTTGCCTTAGCCTGCCTTTTAGCTTCTTCTACTAGGGACGACACAATTTTTTAAAACAATGCTTAAATCCATTAGGGTACAGTGATGGACTTGAGCATTTTGCCTCTTAATTCTCATGTTAAAAGAGCCAGAATATTGAAAGTCTTAACAGAGGATTTTATGAATACAGTATCTAAACGATCTCTTTCCATGATTACCAAATAATTAGAGCCTCTCCGAACTTAACCAAAATCAATCCAGCATGAGTTTTTAAGCTATGTGACTAATGATTTTATTGGCTTATCAACCTATGTTCCCTTTTTGGGTTCCCTTATGTTTTAATAGTGCGTTGAATAAAACACATTAGGAGCTTACAAATGAATGAAACATAGCTTCATTTTGGTTCTAAGACACCAGAGTCAGAAACATTAGATTTTGTGAAAAGGATTCCTAATTTTCTACTCATTTCCCACGTGATGATTCATAATAAAGTATTTATTAACAACCTTGGGGGTATCATACTCATGTTGTAAGTTACATGGATGTGTCTTTCACTTTTTTCTCCCTCGAGTGAGCATACAGGTTGTATCAAGGTGGTGTGGAATTCCACAGAAACTCTGCACGGGAAGGTTGGGCATTTGTGTTGTTGGTGGAAATCCTATTTTGTTCTTACCTCGTCCTGGTAGTTAGGGATCTTGGAGAAGAAAACTGAGATGCAGATTTGACTTGACAGGAAGCAAAATAATTTAATAGTTGAAACCACTATTTCTATATATTTAACCAAGTCCTCTTTCTATGATCCAACTCAACTGTATTTGTATTTCAGAGAGTGTCTCTTAATTGACCTTGCCTGAGAGAACATCCTGTGCTGAGATAACTGAAAATAAACACAAGGAAAATTGGAGAGTGAGTCTTCTGCAGAAAGCTAGGTCTCTTCACTGTAGAGCCCGTCTTGGGTTGAGAATTGCCTGTTTCCCAAGCTGAGGGGTAGAAAAATATTTTTCAGTGGGTTATAAAACCTGTGTAAAGGAGAAACTCATTCTCTTGCCACCCCCCAACCCCATAGAATAGTTTGAAAACCCTGAAAAGAAGTTGTTTCTGCATATTTTTCCATCTTTGTTACCCCAAAGCCCAGAGAACCAGAAATAAGTATAAATTAGCCTAAATATGTTGTCTTTTCCAACTTTGACTTACGAGCCTCCAGCAGAAGTAGGGGTGAAGGCTGCAGAATGGAGAGGGACCCTCCTCCTGGACATTCATTGATTGTTCTGATCTTTGTGTCATTTGAAGAGTCTGCAAAGAACAAACTCACTGCAGAATCTGCCCTCAGATGGGAACTGGTAGAGAATGTAGAAGAATGAGGAGGTGGGGTGTGAATCTCAGGGGGTAAGAGGAGGGGAATAAGGTTGAGACCCTTCTAATGTGACACAGCATAGCTCCTGGCCTCAGGTCTCACTGCAATGTCTGTCCCAATCTGTGCCTTTGCCCTGCAGAGTCAGGAGGGATTGCAGCAAGCCCCACAAGTGCCCCTATCTGATAGACAACGTACGGACTCTGTGCCCTTTCTGTCGTTGCCCTGACCTTGATCTCTAATAGGAGAATTTCAGACTCAAGTCAATAGTCTTGTGGAAAAGCCCTACTGGACTTGGAATTGCAAGTCCAGGTTCTGGCGTGGGCTGTCACTAGCTGGGGCCATCGTCACAGCGTGTGCGGAAAGCAAAGGGTCAGGAAGCAGAAGGTCTGAGTTCGAGTCCTGACTGTGGCTTCCTGGTTGGATGATGTTAGAGGTTTGTCACCTAAGTCAGACGTTGGTCATAATGTTGGGTTTGGGATGATAATGAGAGGCATTTGTCAGAAGGGCCCTTCTCAGGTCCTCAGGGAGGTAGAGACACAATTGCCAAAACAACAGAGAGCATACGAGAGCTAGTTACTTAAACAGGAAGTTGTGGGGTATTGTGCTGTACTATTTCATTTAATCTAATCCCCACGACATCTTCCAGGCATAAAAGACAAGATTAAAGAGAGCTGAGGGGTGGCGGGGGGGAAAGCAGCCCCCGATAGCCAGGAAATAGCCAGCGATAGCTACACCTGGGATGTTTTCTGGAGCTGGCCCAGCAACTCCAGCTGGACCATGGTGTTTCCTAGTAGGACGTAAACAACCTCACAGGACACCAACCTCAGACAAGGTCATGGTATGACCATGATGAAGTGAAACAATAAACAAGACCACTTTCTAATTTCACCTAAGCATGGACAAAAACAAGATCACTGCAAATTGCAAAATACCAAACACCCCTCCTGCCAAATCCCAGTCACCGCTGCTGCTGTACCAGTGACGGCTTTAGCACTGCTCCCATCTGTCCTAGATGAGATTTATTAAGATACATGATCAAAGGATTAGCCCCCCTTCCTGACAGCACCCAGTCCAGAGTGAAACTCTGTTCCTTGAACCCTCCCCCAAACCACCAAACCAAAGCCCCAATCCTGTAAATTCTAGCAGCCTCTTACTGAAATGCCCCCACGCTTCCCCACAGTGTGTGGTCTCTCTGAGCTTTATTTTGTTTATTCATTTATTTATTTTTTGCGGTACGCGGGCCTCTCACTGTTGTGGCCTCTCCCGTTGTGGAGCACAGGCTCCGGACGCGCAGGCTCAGCGGCCATGGCCCACAGGCCCAGCCGCTCCACGGCATGTGGGATCCTCCCGGACCAGGGCACGAACCCGTGTCCCCTGCATCGGCAGGCGGACTCTCAACCACTGCGCCACCAGGGAAGCGCTCTCTGAGCTTTAAACACAATTTTGTTAAACACAGTTTTATTCCTGGAGGTCTGGCTGGAGAGCACGGACAGAGGACTGTGCTGGACTGAGAGATCAGACGCTTCCTGTGGTCGGCCTGTCTGCTGATCTCATGGTTGCAAAGGAGAAAGGGCCACACATTCAAGGTTGTCATCAGTGTCCTGAGACCTAATTGATCTTCAGTGACTCCTGCCCAGAGGGGTGCTGGTGGTGGGCTGGATGCCAAGTAACTTTAGATGAATCTGGACCTCGGTTTTTCCTAACCTGTAAAATAAAGTTAGAGAGAACAGGGTTGTGATGTGTAGAAACTGCTAGAAAGCACGAGAGGTATATAATGTGATTATGAGCAGGATATGGTAAGCCTGACAAGCTTTGTTCTTTGTTTATCTATTCCTGGCACCTCCACACCTACCCTTAGAATC